AAAAAAAACAGTATATAAAATCAAAAATCAAAACAGATAAAATCAGAACAGTGTAGTAGGTTAAAGTATGGTTGGTTCAGTGTATATTTATCAATATCAAATATCAGTGTATATTTTATTTTTTCTGGAGACCTTGATAATAAAAGCAGTTAGTTGCAGGTCTAGTCTCACCTCAGTGGAAGTCCCAACAAGTAACCCAAGAGAGTTTAACTCTCTTCCAGAAAACATTATTGTGAGCTTCAAAATATTGAGAGTGTATTTGCAGAAGTTGGCAGTGAATGCCCAAATATACCACGAGATAAAAGCGCAAAAATGCAACCAGTTAGTTGACAGAATCCCGAGTTCCCCTCTGACAGAGTTACACTCAGTTACACATTTAACTGTGCGGTGCAAAGTCAGTAAACCACAGATTGTTGAGGTATGCTGTTAAACTGACCTCAGCAAGTGAACCTTTCAGTTACATTTCGCAAAGTCATGATTTTCCATCCTAACTTGATTTAAATCATGTGGTGAGTGTGTAGCCTGATACTAACAGAGCACCCTTTGGTTCTCTATAATTAGATTACTGCACAAATGTCATGTGTCTTTCTGCATCCTTCAGAGAAATAGCCAAGTTTGTTTGATCACTTAGATTATTATTTAGAATGACTGTTATACACCTGTGAGAAGATTCATACAAAATTGCTTTATTTATTTACTTTTTGTGCCACCTCGGATCTTTCCCCTTCAGGTTTTGGCTCGCAGACTGTCACCAGATTCCTGAGACGGTGAGTCTAGCGTCTCAGTTATACCGGGAGCTGATCTGCGTGCCGTACCTGGCCAAATTTGTGGTGTTCGCCAAGATGAATGATGTTATTGAGGCTCGGCTGCGCTGCTTCTGCATGACGGACGACAAAGTGGACAAGACCCTCGAGCAGCAGGAGAACTTTGAGGAGGTGGCCCGCAGCAAAGATATTGAGGTGGGATGCAAACAAATGTTCTGCAGTAAGAGAGTCTAATAAAAACTGCACTGACAGATAAAATAAAACAATGTGCTGTGATTCTATATTTTTGGATAATGGATTTCTGTAGGTTCTTGAGGGCAAACCGATCTACGTGGATTGTTATGGCAATCTTTCCCCTCTTGCCAAAAGCGGGCAGCAGCTGGTATTTAACTTCTTCTCCTTCAAGGAAAACAGACTTCCTTTCAACGTAAAGGTATAGGATGTGTTCTTCCTGTCACACTCTCTGTTAGCATTTACTGTAGCCTCCTTTATACAGGTGCATTTCAGAAACAACTCTCCTTTCCTTGAGTCTGCATTAATTATCTCATGTTCTGTACATGCTTATGTACATGTACATGCTTATAAGTGGATTATATTTTTCCCTGTTATATCTTTACTTGTATATAAAAACACTGCAATAGGTTGAGGTGCAATGATAATTACTCCTGGAATTAAGAAGAAATGCATTTTTTTTTATTGACATTAGGTTTTGTTGAACAAGTGTTTACTGTCTTCTGCAGATCAGAGACATGGGCCAAGAACCATGTGGGCGCCTCTCCTTCCTGAGAGAGCCAAAAACCACAAAAGGCCTTCCACAGACTGCCATATGCAATTTGAATATCACACTGCCAACCCACAAGAAGGTACGATTTCCATGATTAAACTGTTGATTCTTTTAGGCCACTTCATATCATCTACATGTAAATGAACCAGTTGAAGAACAACAAACACTGTCCTCCTGAGACCAAGAGAAATCTTTGAAGCTCACCTGGTCTAGAAGTGACTGCCTGCTCCTTGTGTCTTTTATTAATGTTAAAGCCTGTGCCAGTCATAAGACCCCACAACGTACACATTGCAGCCACACATGCACATCATGCTTTGCTTTAGTGCCTGGCTCTCTGTGGGTACATAAGAATTTTGCCAAAAAAACCAACAAAACAATACTTTGTTTGTTTGTTTGTTGTGGTGTTGATTGATCACAAGAAACTGTATTTCCTTTGCTTTTGCTTTTGTTTATTTTGCTGTGTGTATTTATTAATTCCATAGATTTCTGATGCTTTTTGTTGTTTTTGCTGCTCCATTTTCATCCCCTGAGTTTTATTTTCACCTCCCGCTCACTATAACTTCCCTGCTCTCCATTGTGTCATCTCTCTCCTCTCCTGCAATGCATCTTGGAATACCACAGGATATGGAGTCTGATCCTGATGATGAGGTAAACAAATTCTTCATCATCACACGAAGCCGCTTCTTCTTTGTCGTCCTTTCTGTTGGCTTTACTGCAGAGAACGTTGTAAATATGCGTTTTGCAAATACCTTACCTCAGTTCTGTACCTAAATGTGGAAGATGCTTCTGAGCGCACGTTTTTACACAGCCGTGTCAATCCTGACCCTGCAGTGCATGAGTGGAAATGGCAATTGTTTTAATCTGCAAGGATTTATTTATCGTTGTCTCCATCCCAAGTCCAGTGGAGCCAGTTGCTGTTTAACATCTCGGCTTGTTTTTCATCACTATCTTATTTTCCATACATGTTAAACAGGACTTCGTCATTACTATAAACATATAGAGACTTTGGTATATTTTGTCAGCCAGACATGTAACCCTAACTTTTATTATTTTTCCACTTAGGCTACGTCCACACGTACACGGACATTTTTGAAAATGGAGATTTTCCGTTTTCGTTTTATAAAATAATCCCGTCCACACGTAAACGAATAAATTATTGAAAACGCTGCTAGGAAGATGCCAAAGCAACAGGTGGCAATATATTCCTAACCGTGTAGAAATGTTGGCCAATCAGAAGTCTAGAAGCCTCGGTGGGAGATAGTAAACAAAGCTGGGGCATAGAAGCAGAACCGAGTTGTATGTGTGGAGGGACAATAACTGTGTGTGTATGTGTCAGCATTTAAACACTGCAGAGAGTAAAATTAACAGTAACAGTCTCCCCCATTGTAGAAATCAATTTCACCGAAACAATAACGTCGCACACAGTGTGACATCAAAAAAGGCGCACACCTTTGACGCTGCGTTTTCTCCGTTTTCCTCATCCACACGTAAATGCAAAAACTGAGTTTTCAAAAATATCCACCCTGGCAGGCGTTTTTAAAAATCTCCGTTTTCAGATTTTGTAAACGCACCTTTCGTCCGTTTACATGTGGACGAAAGGTGCAAACGCATAGAAAAATCTCAGTTTTCAAAAATATGCGGGTACGTGTGGACGTAGCCTTAGTCGTTGTTTTTTTGTATTGGGGTTTCTCGTATTTTTTGTCCTTTTCCTTGGCTTTTCTGTAACAATAGTACTAACTCTCTCCATTGCATGGCAAAACATTTATGGAAGAGGATTCCAACAATAAACGTTTATTTCAACAACAGTGTGATATTGGAATAGTTAAGGTTCGGCAAACAAGTTCATTAGGATTTTCAAAAAACTGTAGTCATAGTTTCAAAAACTTAGGCTGTTTGTCTGCAAAGAATAAACACACTGCACTCACTTTTGTGAGTTACCCAACTCTTTACAAAGGCTACATTTCACACTAGTAATTGCTTTTACACTAAAAATTGGCATCAGATTAGATTTTAAATCATGAAATGCATATTTGATAAATATGAACATTTGGAGAACCTATTGATACCAACACTGACACAGTTATTATTATTGACGTTTTAAGATTTACCATGATGTGAAGATGAGAAGAAATTTATTCAATATACCATACTTAACTGTAAGTTGCATCAATTACTAGTGCAGGGATTACATGCAAATCATATATCGTTTACAGTTTTTTGAAGACACATAACTGTAGTGCCTCCCTGTGCAAGTACTAACAGCATGCACTGGTAGACTAAAAAAGCAGGTTTATTTCCTTGCACTATAACTTCTAAATTAACAAGTTAACAAAAATATTTAGACTTATTTCTGTTAGTTTCAAGCACATTTTCCTTCATTTTTATGTTGAAGCATCTTTTGTTCTTTTTTGTTTGTTTCAGACTGAAAAGCCAGAGCGACGTCATACCTTTGCCTCCTTAGCTTTGCGTAAGCGCTACAGCTATTTGACCGACCCAGCAGCGAGTGAGTTTCCCATTTTTACCTACGTGAAATTTTTAATTGGTTTCAGATATTTATGTTATTTTAATCAGTTTTAGTGTCTGAAAGGTCCCATGATATAGTTTACATATTTCTACCTCTCATTTACATATAATATAGAACCCTGACAAAACATGTCCATCGAGCATTTATTCCTACCACCCAACACATAATCTTTTATCATCTTTCATTCTGCAAACATTTGCATGGTTTCCTGTGTGTCATGCTTTGCTTACCCACCCCATGTTGACAAAATGTCTCCCTGTTTTGACTGTTATGTTATTGTCACTGGTGTCAATGTCTGTTCGTGTATCATTTGAACAGAAATGTTTTAATTCATGTTGAATAAAAATATTATTTTGAATTGTTCTCATTCTTTCAGCAGCCATTTCACTCTTTTATTGGCTTTATGATTGCGTGCGGCTGTGTATATTAACATGAAATAGGTTGCACTTTACATGAACTTTCTTCCCCCCACAGTGACTCTTTTAGAGCACAAGATTTGATTTAAAAACTTTTTTTTTTTGCCTTTAATGAAATCTTGGAATACCTTTTCTCACAGATATTATGTTTTAGGGCCGGAGCTCTTTCTTCTCGATCTACTATCTTTGCTTTATTGTAATATGTCTAAACTTGTCTTTCTGACAATTTTGGGAAAAGGGTTAGGATTATTTAATAATATACTTAGCTAGAGATAAAATTGTGACCATTTAAATAAATCTTTCATTGCAGGTCACATTTTTTTGTAAAGTGCAACCTCATATTTTATTTTAAGTTGTGACCAAAATATTAAGGTGATATTTTTTTTTATTAATAATATACACTTGTGGGGTCACCTGGCATTGAAAATGTACTAAATGAAAAGAGAAATACTTTTTAATCAAACATACACAGTAAAAGGCACTGTTGTTAGGAGCAAATAGATTAAGCATATCAAAAGTCAATGGAATTGCATATTTTTGGTTATCATGACCTTTTTGTCACGTCTGTCATATCAAGCATTTTTTTTTTTGTTTTTTGTTTGTTTTGTTTATTTTTTCCAAGATCCATTCTGTTTTGAGTGTATTTATTCTCATTGTTCATCATCATTGTAATATGGGCCTTTTACATTTCAAGTGTAAAATTATGTCTTTGAGAGTAATGCCCTTTCTGACTGACTCAAATTTCTCTTTCTGGTTTTTATGTTTTATTTCAAATTATTTTATGTTGGATTTTATTTTTACTTCCTTATTGCTTTTGGTTTAAATTACTGTTGAAGAAACAACTGATCGAAGCTCGCCGAGAACACAGCCTTCTAGCTACCCTCACAAACCTGTCTTTTCAACGAGACCTTATCAGGCGTGGTCGCCTGTTCCTGTCGCCGTCCCTGGCCAAGCCAAGTCTGGGTTTGGCTCCCTCTCCAGTTCGTCATCCAACACGCCCTCTGCCTCTCCATTAAAGTCTGTCTGGTCCATCAACTCTGCCTCCCCCATCAAGACAAACATCCCTGGATCACCTGCCTCTTCTGTAAAGTCAGTTAGTGACATAGCCTCTCCCATCCGATCTTACAGAACCATCTCCTCTCCTATAAAAACGGTAGTCCAGCAAGCTCAGTACCCCATCCAGGTCAGCCCCAGTCCCCTTTCTTCACCGGGCAAAAGTGCCCCAGATCCTCTGTCTATGAAAGGATTGGCAGCATTGTCTGCTAGAACCTCCCCTTTAACTGTCCCTGAAAGAGGGAGCACTCTTCTTGAAAGATCATCTATGGGCATGACCCCACCAAGCTCTCCCAAATCTTCTCTGAGTATGTTCAGTTCATCCCTACCATATAAGACTGTTATGGGAGGATCTAGTGGCACTGCATCATCCTCATCACCTATAAAAACTGTACCTGGTCTCTCTTCTGTGCGTTCCTTTGCCTCTGATGTCACAAGCCCTGCAAGAAACCTGTTTTCGTCCCTTTCATCACCACTGAAATCCAACTCCTCCCCAAGTGCTGCAGCTTTGATTAATGGAAGTGTCTCGCCCACACAGTACCGTTCTTCATCCCCAACATCTCTTCTCTCCAGCAGTCTGCAAGAGAGGATACAAGCAACCACCAATGCTGCAACCACAAGTGTCAATGCAGCATTTGATGAAGTTGAAAAAACATTCAATTCTTGCTCTGCAGGCTATGGCACCCTGAAGTCCATGTCTTCTTCTGCGTCTTCCTCATATCAGTCCATTAGATCATCAGCTTCTAATTCCCTGTATCCCTCACTAAGATCCCCCACTAATGTTACCACTGCTGTAACGTCTAGTACAATGACTGTTCCAGTGTACTCTGTTATTAATGTGCTGCCAGAACACCAGTTTAAAAAGTTACCTGAGGTGTCAAAGTCAGCTGCTGCTCTTCTGTCCCCAAGGAAGACTATGCCAGTTGAGGTAAATGCTCAGTTGCAGTCTTCCTTTGCCAAAACGCTTTCCCCTATCAAAGCTCCCTTTTCTGCTGGCCTCAAGTCAAATACCACATCACCACTGTCATCTAGCCAAGAGATTCTGAAGGATGTAGCTGAAATGAAGGAGGACTTGATTCGAATGTCAGCCATTTTGCAGACAGACCCAAATTCCATAGCAAATAAAGGATTTCAGTCTGATTCTCCCAGGGAGGCTAAGATAGAAGATGAGGAGCCATATCGGATTGTGGAGAAAGTAAAGCAAGACTTGGTAAAAGTCAGTGAAATCCTCACTAAAGATGGTGTGAAGGATGGTAGGGTTTCCCTGGCCAGGGATTCATTGGATGACATACATTTCTCGAAAGTACAAGTTGAACAACCGCCAAGCAACTGGAGCTATCCCCCAAGATATGAGACAGTGGTCCCTCAAGCCAAATCAAAAACAATTCCTGATCGAGATTTCAATCTGTCCAAAGTGGTTGACTACCTGGCCACTGATGTGGGCAGCAGCTCTTTCACCAAAATGTATGATACAAAGCATAAAGCAAATGAGGGCAAAAGAGAAGAAGATGGGAAAGAGAAGCAGAAACGTGTTTTAAAACCCACCATAGCAGTTCAGGAGCATAAGCTCAAAATGCCTCCAACAAACATGAGGTCTTCTTCTTCTGACAAGGAGATCAGTAAAATAGCTGATACACTTTTTGGAGCAGATACTGTGCTAGAATCCCCTGATGATATCTCACATGAACAAGATAAAAGCCCTCTCTCAGACAGTGGCTTTGAGACCAGAAGTGAAAGAACACCCTCTGCCCCTCCAAGTGCCGAAGGCATGGGCCCCAAAGCCCTTTTTCAGGATATCCCAGTTCCACCAGTGATCACTGAGACTAGAACTGAGGTTGTCCATGTCATCAGGAGTTATGAGTCTCCAGAGGACAACAAACAACCTGCAATGGAGGATGCTCAACCAGTGAGATATATTGATTCAGATGCTAAAGGGCATCAAAATCAAACTACGTCAACTGCAGACCAGAATAAATGCTATTCAATTAAAGTCAGCCCTGACGAAGATCCCATGGGGAAAGGGATGAGGGTAAAGGAGGAAACTCACATCACTACCACCACCAGGATGGTGTACCACAAACCACCTGGCAAAGAATCAGCATCTGAGAGGTGTGAGGAGACGATGTCTGTGCATGACATAATGAAGGCATTTCAGTCAGGCAAAGACCCTTCTAGAGAGCTGGCTGGACTGTTTGAACACAAGTCAAACAATGAGGAAACATCTCAGAGAGTCCTCGAGGATCTCAACTCCAAGCCTAAAGTTGAAAGAATAATTGAGGTTCATATTGAAAAGGGCAATAAAACAGAACCAACAGAAGTCATCATCAGAGAGACAAAAAACCATGCAGAGAAGGAAATGTACTACTATCCAGGGAATAGACAAGATGAGGAAGAGACCGAGGAGTCTCTCCCAGTGTACCTTGACTCCCCAAGAGTGAACACACCCATGTCCCAGGAAGAAGACAGTCGCCCTAATTCAGCCCAGCTCATGTCAGATGACTCTTACAAAACTCTAAAGCTACTTAGCCAACAGTCTGTTGAGTACAATGAGGATGAGTCATCAGAGCTTAGAGGGGAGTCTTACAATTTTGCAGAGAAAATGCTACTCTCTGAGAAATTTGACCAATCTCATTCTGACACAGAAGAATATTTGAGAGATAGGTCTCGCTTCTGCTCACCAGATAGAAGCAGTCACAGTGAGGGTAGATCAGTTGGGCCAAGGACAGAGTATGTCTTTAGGTCAACAAGAAACGTCTTTGATAAATCTGGACGAATGGCCAATGTTGATGACAACTTTGACAAACTGACACTTTTGCAATATTCATCTGAGCCTGGTAGCCCCAAGCAGTCTGTTTGGATGCGTGTGTCAGATGACACACAGAATAAAGAGAGAGAACAGCTTATATATGAGGACAGGGTAGACAGAACTGTAAAAGAGGCAGAGGAAAAACTAAGTGAGGTGTCTCAGTTCTTTCGTGATAAAACAGAACAGCTCAATGATGAGTTGTCATCTCCAGAGAAGAAATCTCGTAGACCAGACTTCAGAGAATCACGGTCAGGGCCCAGCTCTACACACAGCAGTCCAGAAAGATCAGCTTATAGGAGTGGGAGTAGTGGGGAAGAGTGGAGCAGGGAAAGGCTTCGAGACAGGTTCACCTCCAGTGACAGGAAATGTGCCAGTTTACCAAGCAGTCCAGAAAGGAGAGTATTGTTACAGTATTGTGATTCTGACTCAAGAAGACAAGGTGATGGTAAATCACAGGTAACTACAGGTGAAAACCCTAAACCTTTTCAGATGTCTTCCTCCAAAGTCAGTGCAGTGAGGCTAAAGTTTGAGCAAGAGGCTCAAAGGCAAGATCGGAATCCTCAGGGTGTCCAAAATTCAAATCCCCCTATCAGAAAGCTCCAGGAAAGTAAGCTTCCTGTTTACCAGGTATTTGCTGGTTCAGGTGTCCCAAAAACAGGAGATGGTGTGGGTAATCAGAGGAGTTGTCAAGAGTCTGAAACAAATAAGTTCTCACCCAAGCATGAGACTAGTGGAAAAGATCAAGAAGAGAGCAAGTTATTCAGAACATGGGAGAACCAGGGGTATGGAAACTATAAACCTCAATCTCCCAAACTATCTAATTCATTAATCCATGATTCTATGAAAGGCAGCAATAATAGTGATTCCCAAAGACAAGAAAAAACAAAAAAAATAATCTACACAGAATTTGTTGTCCGAGAAAGTCCAACCAGCAACGATAGTCTAAAAAAAAACTCGGAATCACAAATTCCTGTAAGAAAGCCATCTAATTTCTCAGAAAATCAGAAATCTCCCCCTTTAAAATCTGATACCCCTATTGAACCATTTGAGAGGGCAGGGTCTCATAGTTCAGCTCGAAATCGGGTACACAGTAGCTCTGAATCCAACAAGTCTACCCGTGGATCATCATTAGGAAAATCCACAGATTCATCAGAGGGTAGCCAGTCAAATGTAGTGTGTAATGGTGTTGATAGTGACCAAGTAGAATATTTGGATCAAGTAACTCCTGTAGTTGTAACTGAGGGTTTTAAAGATATTAAGCCCTTGCCTGTTTATGTCAGCATCCAAGTAGGAAAGCAGTATGAGAAAGAGACAGCTTCGGGTCAGCTGGGAACATACAAAAAGATAGTAAGCCATGAGAGTAGGACAGTGCATGAAACCAGGGGTGCATTTTACTCTGTCAAACAAAAGCAGTCGCCATCGCCTCAAGGAAGTCCAGAAGATGACACTCTAGAACAAGTGACTTTCATGGAAAGCTCTGGGAAAAGTCCTGTTACCCCTGAGACCCCCAGCTCAGAGGAAATGAGCCTGACCTCCAGAACGCCAGACTCTGTGATAGGCTTCATGCCTGGCATGCCAAGTCCTATCCCAGAGGAGTCTGAGGAGGAAGAAGGAAAGACCTTCGTCTACAAAGAGCCCTCAAAGGAAAAACCTAAGCCAGCTTCCCCAGAGAATAAAAAGCAGGATGGAGAGAGACAAAGGTCAAAGGACAAAAGAGTGGCTTATATAGAGTTTCCACCACCTCCTCCTATAGAAGCAGAACCGTCCAATCCAGAGAAAAGGGGTTCATGTGCTTCTTCCTCAGAGACAGAGATGATGGAGGTTAACCTGCAAGAGGAACATGATAGACACCTCTTAGCTGAGCCAGTCATCAGGGTCCAGCCTCCATCCCCTATTCCCCCTGGCGCTGATAACAGTGACTCTAGCGATGATGAGTCCGTCTTTCATCCCATCCCACTCAAAAAGTATACATTTAAAATGAAGGAAGAAGGAGAGAAACGTCCAAAACCCAAAAAATCTGAGAAAAATGGAAATAAGGACTCTGGGATTAATGGTGTAGTAAAGGGAGAGGAGGCTGATTTTGAGCAAAATGGCAATGATCAGTCAATCACTGACTGCTCAATAGCGACCACTGCTGAGTTCTCTCATGACACAGATGCAACTGAAATTGACTCTTTAGATGGGTATGACCTTCAGGATGAGGATGATGGACTGAGTGAAGATCCAAAAACATCTAGTCTGTCTAATGATGGAAAAACAGCGGGTGCATTTAGTCAGTCCAAACTTGAAGTGATAGAGGAAGAGAAATGTGAGGAAGGGGGAGATGGAAAGACTAAAATCAGTGCATCTTCTCTGCAAAGTAGTGGGGATGAAAAAGATTACACCCTTGAAGGAAGACATCCAGATAGACAGGGCTTTGGAGAAAACTACTTTGGCTATCAACTTGAAGAGGAGCTGAATTCACCCTTTAAAACAGTGGCCACCAAAGGTCTGGACTTTGACCCCTGGTCCACAAAAGGGGTTGATAATGAAGGGGTTTTTGAGTCCAAATCAAAAGATGATGACCCAAAACCCTACGGCTTATCAGTGGAGGACTCACAGGCTACAACTCCTGACACAACCCCTGCTCGAACACCAACTGATGAGAGCACACCGACTAGTGAGCCTAACCCTTTCCCTTTCCACGAAGGGAAGATGTTTGAGATGACCCGCAGTGGTGCTATTGACATGAGCAAGCGGGACTTTGTTGAAGAGAGGCTTCAGTTTTTCCAGATTGGTGAGCATTCCTCTGACCCTAAAACAGGGGAAAAGGGGCGAGGGGGCAAGATCCTGGGGGTACTTTCCTCTCAATCAAAAACAGGGGAGAGGGCCACTGTAGATGGAAAGGTGAAGGTTATAGATACTACCACAGACAGCAGCACTACACCAACAACACCAGCAGCAACTACAGCAAAATGCAGTCCTGCACAGCCTCGCAGTGACACTGGCTATGCTGGTACTGATGCCCCCATCTGTGAAGCCATAGCTGAAACTGCCTCGTCTTGCACAATCACAGCCTCTAAGGTTGATTCGAAATTACGTACTCCTATTAAGATGGGCATAGCTGCCTCTATAACTGTGAAAAAAGACTCAGGGGATCTCACTGATTGTAAAGCTGAGATATCTGAGGGCCAGCTGGTGCCAGAATACATTAGTATAGAGGGGCAGTCTGCAGACAGCAAGTCTAGCAGCCACACTTCGCCCAGATTAGAAAGAAGAGATTACCCCTCTGAAAACTGCAACAACAATAATAACCTTGAGTCCTCCAGTGTACAGGCCAACTACATACAGTGTGGCAGTGTGGTGTTTAATTTGCAGTCCTCTTCTGAACCCACCCTCCAAAAAGCTAGTAGGATAGAAACGCTTTGCTGTAGGGAATTAGAAGAAAGAGTGGAAGTGCACAGCAGTAGTCAGGTGCAGGAGGAGAAAAAGGAAACAGTTAAAGAAAATGAAGTGAAGCAGCCCAAGTCAAGACTTCCAGTTAAAGCATCAGGGTGGTCATTTCACACGCAGGGAACAGCCATAGGTAAACAGAAGCCGAAACAAGCAGTGAAAGTTGAGGTTAAAAAAAGAGGCGAGCCAGCCATAGCCAAAGTAGAGCCCAGGTCTAGGATACCAATAAAGGATGTTAAAAAGAACAGCCCTGCTACTACAGCTAGCTCAGTTGTTTCAGTTCGTGTTACCTCACAGCCAATGAGGGCACTGGCCAAAGAGAGAGCAGCCATACAGTTGCCCTCAAGGCTTCCACTGAAGGACAGGCATCAGATCAGCAGTGTCGCAATATGTAGACCAGACAGACAGGAAAACCCTAGTGAGCTTTGTAAGCGCACCATCGAATACTTTAAAGACATTAGCGGGGAGACGCTAAAGTTGGTGGACCGCCTGTCAGACGAGGAGAAAAAGACGCAGACAGAGCAGTCGGAGGAAGACAGCACCTCCCGGAGCACCTCTCTGTCGGACGCCTCCCAGCCTTCCCAGCCCTCCCAGCCCTCCCGCTCATCCAGGTCTGGTAGAGGTTCGAGGGCTGAGGCCGGGGCCGCGTCCGTAAGGGCAAAGGTGGCGACGACGGACAGGGCCTCCGGCAGTGAGAGGAGCAGGAGGAGTAGGCGGACTGGTGGGAAGGAGGGCAGTCAGGGACTCACAGGGTCTCGAACGCCTCCCATCGCGGAGATCAAGCCTAGTTTGTAAAATTTTCACACTATGTTTAAAATACATCTATATATTTCTATATTTCACTTGTAGTTGCATGACATCGTTGTGATTGTTTAATGGATTGACTGGAATGCCTGTGGCGTGTTTACATATTCCCTTCAGAATAGTAGCTGTCATTTAAATTTCTTTTTCATTGATGTACTGTGTACTGTATTGTCCGTGTCGCAATATTCTCTTTCTTCTGTTCTCCTCTTTTGACCCTGTTTACCTTCCATAGTTAGAGTCAGCATGCCAGTAGTAGTGACTGGTCACTGGCACAACCAGTCACTTGTTTTACAAATCCTGGTCTGTCTCTGTCTGTCTGTCTGTGCAGGGTTGTTACTGAGTTATTGTGGTAGTTTGTTTTTACAGACTATTTCATGCAGCTGTCATTTAAACTAACTAGTGTTGGCAAAGAACACACAAAAGCGTCTTCGCATGTTAACATTTTAGATTCTAACATAGACCTTTCCACTGTAGATTTTTAGAAGTCTGTTGTTGAGAGTCATGTTATGCTTTGTTTTGTCACAGAGAACCACTTACTATATAGACACATTTATGTTCCCCATAGCGTCTCTAGTATGAAATATCCTTTCCTTGCCATCTTGTGGAAATGATTCCAGTAATATGGTAGTCATAGTAATCAAAACATTTTTATCACAGCTGTAACTAATGCTGATAATCATGACTAATAAGTGGCCAGGAAAGGAAAATTATACACATGTATTTTTCTTTTATATTAGCGTATAAGTGTAGAAAAATGTTATTGGTATTAATGAATCAATGTCTTCTATCTTGCCAGGTCCCCAAAGTCCTTGTGAGCGAACGGACTTGCGCATGGCTATAGTTGCAGATCACTTGGGACTCAGTTGGACAGGTTATAACCACTGCTTTATTTATTTCTCAAGCCCCCGAGCCTTGTTATTTACTGCCACCTTCAGGCTGACTGTCACCCAGAGCCTCTGATACTATACACTGTTATAATGTAGCGTTAAGATACCAAGTTTAAAAGCTTTAAAAGGGAGAGGAATTTTAAATAATTTTAAATAAAGTGATGGATCAGTTAATGCTAAAAACTTTTTTTTTTAAAAACAAGGATTTTTTTTTAATCATTTTTATTTTGTATTTGTATTTATGTTTCCACTGTACATAAAATGATGGACAATTTGTTTATGGATAGTGCAAAAGAAAAACACTGAAGTTAGAGTATTCATGTTAGACTTGGTTTTTGTGTCTGAACAGAGCTGGCTCGGGAGATGAACTTCACAGTGGATGAGATCAATCACATTAGACTAGAGAACCCGAACTCTCTGACAGCACAGAGCTTCATGCTTCTTAAGAAATGGGTCAGTCGGGAAGGGAAAAACGCCACAAGTAAGATTATTTTCTATGTCTATACATCTTTCTTTTTAGTTACTCTTGTTTTTGTTTCCATTCTTTTTCAGTCATTCTGCTGTTGATTTACTCCTGAAAGTTCATTTCAATTTTTCAATTCAATTTACTTCAATTCAGTTTTTTTTAATATAGCACCAAATCACAACAACAGTTGCCTCAGGGTACTTTATATTGTATGGTAAAGATCCTACGAAAGTCATATATTCTCATTCCTTATTATCGCCCCTCACTGAGGTTTTCTGCTTTCTTTTTTGTTATTCTTTTCTCTTTTCTTTTGAAAAATCATCCAGATGCTCTAAAATATATTTGCTTAAAAAATTGGTTTCGCTATGACTAATCCAAATGTCTGCATAATTACATTTGCTCAAATTCCTGTTTTACTGTTTTTATCTCTCTTCTTCCTCAGCGGATGCCTTAACTGCAGTGCTGACCAAAGTCAATCGGATGGATATTGTGACTTTGCTGGAGGGGCCAATATTTGACTATGGTAACATTTCAGGCACAAGATGTTTTGCCGATGATAACGCTGTTTTCCGGGATCAGGCTGATGGTAAAGTTTAGCTTTGTCTAGCTGACCTCTTACCTCTCCCTGCTACCTTCTTTTTCTTGTGGCAATGCATGGATCACATATGTATCATACTAGTGAAACCAAAATCACAAGTGGTGATTTACACTCGGATTTAGAATTTGTGTGAACAGCTGGGTCTTACCAAAGACGTTCCTGTTGATTCTACAATATATTTGACACTGAAATTTCTGCTTTACATTTCAATCTCATTTTAATATTTAGTTTAAATGAAAACTTTTTTATATAGCACTTTATTACTTGCACTGATTTTAATTGGCTCCTGTTAAATTAACTCTCATTAAAATTAGATTACGCTCAGGGTAAATACTCTGCAAATCACTGCTGTATCCAGTTGTCACAGAAGATTAATATACATTGTTAATTTCCACTTTAAGTGCATGCTGCATGCTAACTATTGCTTTGAATGTTTTTCAGTGTGACTTATGCAGAAATAATATAACCCTGTAGTTTGCTTTTCTCTGCTGACTTAGTTTAGCTCTCCTAGTTCTCCTCCAGTTCCTCAGAGCCTTCCTTGGATAGATGAGAGAATGTCTTCCTCTGTGAAACCAGACTGCCTCTTCCTCCTCCTTCTGTTCCTCCTGCCTCCCATCAACTCCCACCAGCAGTATCCACTGCTGATAACAGCACATAACTGCTCTTAACAAATTTAGAGTCATGTGTTGGCCAAATCCTCATATGCCTGCTCCTTATCCACCCATATTATTCACTCGTTGTCCTGTTGTGCAAGCATGTTTCACTGGGTTTAATGTAGTTTTTCTTTCTTTTTATCTCTCTTATTTCGTATCTTACCTTATTCCTTTCCCATAGTTTGCATAATTATCCCCTTAACTTCCGGAGGCCCTGAAGCAGCTTTTATCCTGCAAACACCCGGTCCTTTCTTTCCAACACCAACCCCAACACCTCCACCCACTCCCCATACACCTTCAGCAGCGCTTTACTGTCACCCCTTCCCTCCACGCCGCTCGCCAAGTTATGAGTCGTCCATTTTGCTCAAAGACTTGGCACCTTCAGCTCCATTTCAGCCAGCAGAGTTTAACGTTTTCACCTCTCCCCATGCATGTCCCCTCCCTCAGTGTACCAATACTGACCCTCGTCAATCCCCGGGCTTTCCTTTCTCTCCCCTTACTTCTTCCCCAATCCCTCTTATTACCTCACCTTTACCTTCTTCACCTGCTCCTCATTCACCATCACCCTTTCTTTCTTCTGCTATATCTGTCCCAACATCTCCCACATCTGTTCCAGCTTCCCCCAGACTCAGCATACCTACTATTGACCTTTTGCAAGCACTATCAGTCACTTGTCAAACTGGTGATACCTTCAAACCTACAACAACTCCACCCAACCTCACCCTTGCACCCTGCTCTATGTCTCCTAGCCAATCTCAACCTATCACCATACCTGTGTCAGCCATCCACTCTACAGCCCCAGGCAAAGTCCCACCTTCTGTCACTGCCTCCTCAAGCAAAGAGTCCCTAGTGACCCAGCTGGCCTCCTCTTTCCGCCCAATGTCCCCACTTTCCATGTCTACCCTCCCTCCCACCTCTCCTTCAGGATCACGTTGTCCTAGCCCAAGTCCTCCTTCCCCGCCTCTCCGCTCATTGTCTCCCTGTCCTGTTTGTCAGTGTACTTGTGCACCCTCAGTCAATCCACCTCCCACTCAAACCCGCATCGATCCTTCTAATATGGAAATATACCTTTAGCATTTGCTATCCTTTATCTTGTCCTCCTTCCACTCCATGCTTCTTCCTACTAAAAAATCTCATCTGTCGTCTATCCCATGTGAGCATGTAACAGACCACCTTGGTAAACATTAGCCACATCACACACTATAAGGCCTCATGTCACTAATAGTTCCCACTTTTAATATCTTACCTCACTGACAAAATCTTTAAAATAAGAGCAACTTCGACCAGCATTTGTGATTACTACTTATAAAATACTTCTTTATATATAGTAGGTTCAATATTAAACTAATCAGCCATAACATCAAAACTACCTGACTAATATTGTGGAGGTCCCAGTATTACAATCAGACAGCTCTAAACCATCAGGAGATCAACATGAAACCTGTCTTAGTGTCCTGTTCTGTCCAGATTGGACTTTTCCCAGGGCATCTCACTGATGTAGTTTTGTTAATTTTGAAGTTCATATCAACCTTTAGACTAATATTTTCCAGTAGAATATTGACTTCACCTCTCACAATACTTTTAATGTTGTGGCTGATCTGGTACAGTTAAATGTATGCATTAATTTTATTTTACTTATCTAGTATCCAGCCATCCTACCATCTTCCATCTTATACAAACACGCACACTGGATATTACAAATATGACATCTCTCATTTAATGGTTTCTCATTATTTTTGCTAGTTCCTACATTGTAGATACATACTGAAGACAAATATATGAAGCAATATATATGACATTATGTAGCAAAGAAGAAATTGATAATTAAGCCTAAATATGTCTTATATTTTAGATTCCTCAAAGTAGCCACCCTTTGCTTTGTTGACAGCGCTGCAAACCCTTGGCCTTCTCTCAGTGAGCTTCATGATGTAGTCACCTGAAATGGTTTTCACTTCACAGGTGTGCCTTGTTAGGTTTCATTTGTGGGATTTCTTATCTTCTTAATGGGTTTGGGAACATCAGTTTTGTTATGCAGAAGTCAGGTTGGTACACCTGACAGCCCTATTTGACACCTGTTAGAATTCATATTATGGAAAGAACCAATTAGCTAAGTAAAGAGAAACAACAGTTCATCATTACTTTAAGAACTGAAGGTCAGTCAGTTTGAAAAATTGCTAAAACGTATCTGTCCCCAAGTCCAGTTGCAAAAACCATCAGGTGCTACGACAAAAGTGGCTCACATGAGGACTGCCCCAGGTAAGGAAGACCAAGAGTCACCTCTGCTGCTGAGGATAAATTCATCCATGTCACCAACCTCAGAAATTGGAAGTTAACAGCACCTCAGATTAGAGCTCAGATATATAGCACACAGAGTTCCAGTAGCAGACACATCTGTACCATACATCAGCTGTTCAGACTGTGTGAATCAGGCCTTTATAGTCAAATAGCTGCTAAGAAACCACTACTAAGGGAAAGCAACAATCAGAAGAGATTTGTTTGGGCCAAGAAACACAAGGAATGGACATTAGACCAGTGGAAATCTGTGCTTTGGTCTGATGAGTCCAGATTTGAAATCTTTGTTTCTATGTGCCGTGTCTTGGTGCGGCACAGAAAAGGTGAACGGATGGTCTCTGCATGCATGGTTCCAACAGTGAAGCATGGATAAGGAGGTGTAATGGTGTGGGGGTGCTTTGCTGGTGGCACTGTTGGAGACCTATTCAAAATTGAAGGCACACTGACCCAGTATGGCTACCACAGCATCCTTCAGCGAGATGCCATCCCATCCGGTTTGCGTTTAGTTGGACCATCATTTATTTTTCAACAGGACAATGATCCCAAACACACCTTCAGGCTGTGTAAGGGCTATTTGACCAAGAAGGAGAGTGATGGAGCACTGCAACAGATGGCCTGGACTCCACACTCACTTGACCTAAACTCAGTCGAGATAGTTTTTGGGATGAAATGGACTGATGATCTCTGGGAACTCCTTCAAGACTGTTTGAAAACCATTTCAGGTGACTACCTCATGAAGCTCATCGAGAGAATGCCAAGAGCGTGCAAAGCAGTAATCTGAGCAAAGGGTGGCTATTTTGAAGAATCTAAAATATAAAACATGTTTTGAGTTATTTCACACTTTTTTTGTTTACTGCATAAGTCCATGTGTGTTCATTCATAGTGTTGATGCCTTCAGTGAGAATCTATAATTTAAATAGTCATGAAAATAAAGAAAAAACACAGACCTTCTGACAATTTTTAAATTGTTAGAAGGTTCAATAAATGCTCCATTAAAAAAAAATCTGGCAATTAGTTCATGCTTCAGGCTTTAAAGGGTTAAACGTATCTTTATATAATCATCCCAGGTAACGGTTGTCTGGATACATGCTTTACATTTCATTCTCTGTGCCATTGTCCATGTCATGTGGTGTTATGGTGTGTTTTCGGGTGTTAAATTGTTTGTGTTATGCTTTGGTGTGTGTATGTCTGTACATTTTTCATCCTGTCACCTACAGATTATCAGAGCATTCTAGTGGAGCTGCAGTCCCCCGCCACACTGCACTCTGATCCCTACTTCCTGGAGTCTGACCTCCCCGTCACTCCCAATCCTTCCCTTGCACACCACCAACAACAGCACCATTACCCAGAACCAGACACACCTTTGCTTGCTGACACCCAGCCTCAGCCCTTGCCTTGGAGTCCAGAGTTAGAGCCCAGTAACAGAGAGCCAGAAAGCCCCCCTAGGAGCCCCCCTAGACCCTGTGAGCTCACCCTATCTGTCCCAGTATTTGAACTTCCTGATCCTATTCCCTACAAGCCCAGAAAGCCCCACATTGCCCTGAATGATCAGCTGCTATTGAGCGAGGAGGAGGACCGATCTTTTCAAGAAATGGAACCAATCCACAGGCCCAGGTCACGGTCCTTTCCCACGATGTGTGAATTAGACGTTGATATGGCATACTCCACATCTTCCCCTTCATTATCATCAATTTCATCGATAACCCCTTCATCACCAGAGAGAGCACAAATTGGAGATGGAAGAGTGCAGCTGGATCCCTTTAATGGGGTAAAACAGGATGTTTGTTTGAAAAGAGGTGAAAAGGAAGTGACAGAAGAATTAGGGAAGGTTGTTGAAGTGGCTGCAGCAGAGTTGGAAGAGGGAAGTGCATTAGTGGAAAAGTGGGTAGAGCGAGACTTAATTGAAAATGTGGAAAGAAAATGTGAGATGATAACAAAAGATAGGTCTAAACTAACAGAGGAAAATTTGGTGGAACAGAAAGAGGGGTTTGAAGAGGAAGAGAAAGATTTAGTGAGTAACCAGCAGGATAATATTCATGACGGGAATAAGGGGACAGCCTATGTTATGGAAGTGGTGAGAGATGTACAGCTGTTAAACGAGCAGTATGACCTGCCAGGAAATGAGCATGAAATGGAAAAAGCTTGTGCCACATTTGAAGCAGATAGCAGAAAAGTTGATGGAGTCGCTGAGGAAGTTTTCTGTAAGGGTGATAGAATAGATGATACACATGAAGATGTGCAGTTTAAGGATTCGACGTTGTGTGGCAGTGAAAAGGATATTTGCAGTACATCACAACAGGACGTCGAGGACCAGACTGTAGTCCGCCTCTCCCCTCAGGCCTGGGATGAGGCACTTGAGGAACTTCAGGCCAATGAAGAAGATAAGGAGGAGGAGGAGGATAAAGAGATCAAAGAAGAAGCATTAGGGTCTTTGTTGGAGGAGGTGAAGAACAAAGGTGGCTCAGAGGAAAAGGAGGAGAACGAAGAGATGACCAAGTCCAGGATTCAGGAGATTTGTGATCACGTTGAACATGCAGAACAAGACCTTTGTTCACTTTCAGGTTGGCACAGCGATTCATCCAGTGTCAATGTGGAACCACCAACGCCAGGACGCAGTGTCAGCTCAGACTTGCTCGACAGACGAGAAAGGTAAAATCTTTTTTTTTTTAAGTACAATGCTTAAATAGAATCACAAGATAACAATCTCTCAGACCACTTATTTGGTGTGTTGTTTTGTTTGTTTTTCCAACAGCCAAGAGAACTCTAGTGACTCCATCACCTCCTCATCTAGAGGAGAATCAGGGAGGTCCCGACAGAACGGCGACAACTCAAAGCACTCACCTCAGGACGGCTCATCTGAATCATCAAATGGCAGAAAAGAGGAGGGAACACTAATGTCAGAGAAAAAAGTCCAGGTAATACTGAAGACTGTTGTACCTGTAACAATGAGGGATGAAATTTTTTTTTTTTTTTTTTTCTTAAGTTCTTCGCTTGCTTTTTTTTTTTCCGGGGGAATTCCTTGGCCCTTTTTCCCCTAAGGAAACTTAACTTTTTTGTTTTTTTTAAGTTTTCTTTCCTGATTCAGCCAACTATGGAGTTGAGGTGCATAAAGGACAACAACAAAAATGTTTCAACCTGTAACTGTCCTACACATGTGCTTCTTTTTTCCACTTGACTCCCTCTGTTGTGTAACGTTTGTATAAAACCTCCCTCCACAGCGAGTTAGTGTAGATTCCGGTTCAGAGGAAGAACAGACAGTAACCACCAGAATCTTCAGACGCCGTCTAATTTTAAAGGTACACTGAAAGCCTGAAGCAGGTGCTGAGCTGGGTCGTGGTTTGGTTTGGTTTAGACTGGTCAGTCTGCTGTGATACGTAATAGTCTTGCTTGGTATAATGGTGGTTTATTCTATTTGTGTGTATGTGTGTGTCTAGATATGACTGTGCATATGTTTGTTTACAAGCTCTACTGACCCTGTCACAGTTCATAAATGAAAACTAATCCATCCTCTTTCTGTCAGGGTTATTTTTCTCACTGGTGTTTTGTTTCAGTGTGGTGATGGTGATGGATTGTTTTTAATCGTGTGTGAAGTGCTCAGGAAGTTGGCAAGCTTTTATTCACGTGCTAACCGCAAATACCTACAGGGAGAAGAAGCAAAGAATATCCCAGGTGAGACCATGACAGAGGAACACTATATGGACCAAGATGGTAACCTCATCAGTAGAAAAGTAATGTATACCTTAATTCCCATTTCCTATCCAGCTCTGAAATAATACCCATCATAGGGATGGTGTTTTTATACAATCAGGCACCATCAGATCTTTTCTTCTGCCTTGAGCAGGTCATAAGGAAGGTTATTCGCCGGGTGTCTACTCCCACACCAGAAAACCAAGGAGGTGACAGGTGGCACAAAGACCTTCACCACAGTCCCATTCTGCAAGAAGATGCATCAGAGGTTGCATGAAGATCCAATTAATCTACCATCCAGATGGGATTCCTTTGATATGCTGTTATTCTCCTGTCACAAGACATCAGTAGTTCTAAGAACTACTTGGGTGGGAGGTTAACAGCAAATACAATTTTTAGGCTTAAAGCTGCACATGACAGTGAATCACAGTGGGTCTGAAACAAAAGAAAATAACATTATAACTCATCTAAATAAGAAATTTGCAGTCACGGGCCACAATTCTGAGTCTCACTTTGAAAATTAAAGGCTCTTCTGAACCTTAAAGATTATTTAAGTGAAGTGTTAAGAGCGAAATTGAGATTAAGAAAGTAACACGTGGTAAAAGGTGCAGCTTTAAGTCAAAGAGGGAGGGAGTCAATTAGATTTGATCATCTTTTCCTCCAGTGAATTCAGTGAAGTTAATTCTTGTTAACACTGGTTAACTGGTTTGAGATGACTATTATCTCCATAGTGGGCAAATATATACAAATATCATATGAATTGCAACCTTGCATGTTGTGTTTTAACAGTGTGTGGTGTCTGTTTTGTTTGTATAACAAAGAAGATGCTGACTGCAGTTCTCCTGACTGTGTGGTGCTAATGGTCTTTTATAAAGTTATTTTAAAGCATTTAGCCAATTAGTCAAGAGTATGACTAATGAGTGCTAAGGAAACTCAATCAGCTCCTTTTGTTTCCAGCTCTGTCCATAATGGCATAATTATTCTTTTTCCAGGTGTCTACTTGGTGTGTGGTTTAGGTCCTAATTATAACTCTTGCAATGATGCTATTACTAACATTTGAGTTTTGCTTCTTCTTTCTCTTATTTTGATGTTTCAGGTGTGTTTTTGGTTGCAGTGGGGGTTTTTTGTGTCTTTTTCTATCAGATGATAAGAATACCATGTCTTATGTATACTTTTATGTGTGTTTTCCAGCATGGAGAGGGGTCAAGGAATAGCAGGCGGAAAGATGATAGAAGATCAGGGGATAAAAAGCACCACTCATAGGGATGGTTACTCTCTTCCAGGTACCGTAGTTTACTTTCTCACCTTAACACAGTCATCATAGTCCCCAGGCTTTAACTACTGTACATGCTGTACATATCCGTTGTTGTTCACTGACTTCCCACTAACTGAAGTCAGGTGCATTGAATAGCACCTAGTACCACCTAATGCCTTCACTTTTCTATTAGTGTATTCTGTGTTTTTATTTCTAGGCTTTACAGATTTTAAACTTTGAACAGAGCAAACTATCATTTTAGGCACCAAAAGTAACCTACCTGTCAATTAACCTATACCTTTTATTTATTAATAAATGTAGTACAAAGTAATCAGTCGTGTAACCAAGTTTACTATTAAGCTAGTTCTTTTTAGAAGTAAATAGCAGATTTTGTTTGTTTCTTTTTTTAATAGTTAAATATAAAGATGTATTGTTGAGAGCTACAGTCCTGTGAAAAACAAAGTACACCTGTACTGCTTTTGAAAGAAGGAAGAAGGTAAATAGCAGCCAGTTGCTGCTAATCAAATGCAGTTGATCAACTAATCATAAGTAAGTTGGATGTGCCATTAAGAGAAAGCCTCTCTTGTCTAAACAGAACAAGACACCACAGTTTAGGTTTGCAGAGAAGAAGAAACCAGAAAGACTTTATGTGCAATGTCTTTTGGACAGTCAAGACCAAAGTGGAGATGTTTGGCTGTATTGCACAGACCCATATTTGGCAAAAATCAAAAGCAGCACATCAGTACTAATGCTTGATACCAGCTGTCAAAGCGGAAGGGGGGTGATTTGGATTTGTTTTGCAGGCACAGGACCTGGGCACCTTACAGTCATTGGGTTGACCATGAACTCTGTATACCAGAGTACCCTAGAGTCAAAAGCTTGGCTCAAATCATGCAAAAGGAGAATGATCCTGAAGAAACTTTTTTTACATACTCTCAATAAATACTATACTTTACATACTCTACAGCAGCGGTCCCCAACCTTTTTTGCACCATGGACCGGTTTATGCCCGACAATATTTTCATGGACCGGCCTTTAAGGTGTCGCGGATAAATACAACAAAATAAAACTAGTACCGGTACGGAAAAAAAGAAAATTTATTCATAACACACGTGAAAAGACCCAGGAAAACCAAGTAAACGATAAAAACGATAACAAAATAACGCTGAAAACCGATAAAAACCCTGAAACTATACATTTCACACCTGAACCTCAACTCTCGCGGCCCGGTACCAAACAACTCATGGACCGGTACCGGTCCGAGGCCCGGGGGTTGGGGACCGCTGCTCTACAGCATCACATTTGGGAACCTCTGAAGCTGCTCAAATGTTTGCACAGTGCTGCACATGAGATGCCTGTATCCACAGTATTAAAGTAAATGAAATCATCAATTTAGTCAGATAGTTCAAACTCAAAGCAAAGAAGAAACTGGCATGAGCTTGGTTATCGCCTGGCAGATTTTCTGTCCTCTGCGTTCTCTCGGTGTGAATGAATAGAAAACATTTACAAAGGGAACAGGATTGAGGGTCACTACACACCTCAGCATTATATTGCCCCGCTAAAACCCTCCACGCCTTTTCTTTGTCCACTAAATCCCCAACTCACAACAGCTTTGTCCCATCCAAAAAGAGTTTGTTATCCCACTGGCCAGACTGTTAATCCCTACTGCTGCTCACCCGTATGTTTGCGGTGAATCATTCCATCTGCGCAGAAATGGGATGGCACTGTCATAAAATCTGCCAAAGAGTTTCTATGGTAACAGAGGTCACCATAACAACCCACGTACCATCAGGTCTTGTTAATGTGTTGTCATTTTGTTATACAAAGGAATGAAACACTTAAGAAAAACATTGTACACGTTACACCCTTTGAATTCAGTTTAATACTCAATATTAGGCGATGCACTGTCGGTTGTAATGTATTGTATGAGCTTCCAGAGGGTGACAGTAAATGTGCTGCAATATGCAACGTACTGTTTTGTCTTCCAGATACAGAGGAACCAAGTTCAACGTTTCCTGGGAACAAGTGTTCAGAGGGCTAAGACTTCAGGTTCAAGGACTTAAAGCAAGGTCCAGTGTGCCACTATCTGCTCTAAATAAATGGCTTTCACATGAAAGGAGTCAACCCTTCTGACTTGCGCATGAGCATGAAAAACTCACTCCCTGTCAATTAAAGGACCAAGAAGTTCTCACTTTATGACTGTGGTGGACCAGTGGACAATGATCCTGCTTCCTGTTTTGTGTGAAACAATACGTGCCATCGGTCCACTGGTGTTGTGAGAGCTTTTTGGAGGAGCGTCGTTTGTTGCGAAAAACGACAGAGACTCCATTACTGACAACCACACAGGTGCAACTGTGACCAAAGATGGCACAAGAGCTCAATGCACATGGTGGGTGAAAAGAATGAGGTAGACACAATAACACACACAAAGAAAATCGAATGGACACTTCTAATCCAACTTCAACACTCGCCTTATAGTTTTTTCTTGAACCCATTGTTGTCAGGATGTAAATTGTTTGGGGGTTTTTTTCCTTCCTTTTTAAAACTTAAACACAACTAACACAAAAGCTTTTTTTCCTGTATATAAAATTATAATGTGTATAATTCTTTTAAATCGAATGGACAAGTTGCTGGTTGCGAACGCACTGAGGAGAGCGACCTTTTCAAGTGCTTTCAAAATTTACTGAAACGATTTCACTTTTAAAGATTTGAGTGTAACTTCACGGGTTCTTGTATAATTAATTACTAGAACAGGTATAATGTTTGTACATGAAAAAGCTGGTTTGATTTTAACAGAAGAAATTTCCAGAAAAAAATCGAATTTCTGTAATTCCCAAAGTGGGAATGGATCCTGCAAAAAAAGAGGAGCCTTTCAGAGTACTCATATTTTCATGCATGCTGTTCACATTATTTTAATTACAATTTTTACAGGTTTGCAAAACACTGTATTCAAATGAATCCCTTTATCACTATACACATATAGCCCTGACGTTTGTCACCGATTTTATATTTCAAATTGAAAAAGGATACCATTAAAGCTTTTATCATGTTGGGGTGAGGATGAAAAAAAATCTCTAGCTTCTTGAGGATGTGATGTCTTGTCTGTCTGTGTAAAACTGGAGGGCAGCTTCTGCTACAGGAACGAAGTAATCAGAATGTAAATGCTAGTAGGCTGGCTCGCTGTAAAATTATACTTGTATTGTGCATATTGGCTATAAGGTTTAGGAGTCTCTGTACACTGTAAGACTGTTTGTAAACATTTAGCAGTGTTTCAGTTTGGTTTTCTAATGGCTGCTGTGGTATTAAAGGAAAACTGGGGCATTTCACTTTGGATTCTTTGGTGAAGTATTTCCTTAATTTAAAACCTACTCACATTAAGGACACATAAAGACATTGTTTGATTGTAGCTCCAAATAGCATATTGTATGACAAAACACTGGATGGTCAGAACCAGTTATTTAAGCATTAAATAAATTGTGTTTTAACTCTGAAACTGTGTGATCTCTTTAGGCTTGAGAGTCTGTATATGCAGTGTCGAATAGAATTGTTTTCACTAGCTCACTGACAAAGTTTTATTTGACACACTTTACATGACATTAGGAATTTATGTATCAGTTTTCATTAGATGCCCATGTAGTTCAAGTGTGGTGTTCTACTGCTGCGATGGCTCAGTATGCTGATGTCTATGCTGTGGACATGAAAACTATGTACCTTTTTTTTTTCAGTTTTTTTGGGTGGGAGTATTAAAGGAAGTCAGATAGGGTGCTGTACCACATCCCCTTATACTACTATGTCAATCAGGGGGTAGAGGATACTTTGATATGGTTGAAGTATCAATTTTGTTAATTTTCTTTGATATGTGTTTTCACCTGAGCAGATTTTTTGATGTACAATTCTTACTAACAGAGTGAAGCCATTGAAATATAACTATTCTAGCACTTTGGTTATTCAAGGTCTTTTAGAGGCTATAACAGCAATGATGCCATCACAAATGTTTCAAACGTCTTTAAAAAAAAATCAACCTAAAAACTCCAAAAAAATACAATAAAATGCAGTGATTTTGCAGTACAGTTGTTTCTCTTCTTATCTTTGTGTCCTTGAATGTTTTTTCTTTAATTATTATTATTATGTAAGTTGCACGATGGCAGTGATCAGTAGTGATGTCGTGGGAGTTACTGCCAAAATTCTGTGTTTCTCCTCACCTAAGTGTCCTTGAGCGCCAGGCAGCAACACTTTCTCCTTCCAGCTGATGGAAAAAATGTAAACTATACCGTAGACACTTCATAGCACCATCTCTCATGCCTTAGCCTTGTGATTTTCTAACATAATAAAGCTCAAGTTCAATATTGGATGCCAAAGATGGTAAGATAATGCAGTAGCAATAACATTAACACATGTTAGTTCCTACATTAAAACACAATAAAGGTAAAATGAGTAACACTGATGATTTTCTTACAGTGCAATTCATATGGATCTTACTTTGTAACAATATTTAGTTTGATGTACCACCCGTCTAAATGCTGTTGAAGACCGGGCACATCCCAGTCCCTGAAGGTAATGGCCACAGCAAAAAACCTGCAAGCCCAGAGGTTCTTTGTCAGTACCCTGTTTGGACAGACCTGTTTTGGCATGTGAGGAAACCACACATTCATAGGCAGATGGTTTTAATGTTGTTGCTAAAAGACATAAATGCCAGTGAGTTTGTCCAGTAAGCATGATCATCTTTAATACGTGGTGGAACACAAAAGAAAAACACTGTGCCGCCTACTGATTCATTAGAGTGTTTAAAGCAGTTCTTCCCACATCATCCTGTGACCATGACTACAGTGGCAAGATTATCCCAAGAAAACACACAACCTGCTAGACCTACTTTATGCTTCTTTGATTTAAAGATGAGTATTGTTTAAAATAATCCACAGACTACATTAGAGCAAGCTGAAAAATCAACCCCCCTCTTTGTAATGAAATGTGACCTGGAGCTTTCATGCATCTGGGATGAGATTCACCTTTTTTTGGGGGGGGGCTTTATAAAAACCTGCATGGGTACAATTAGGCCTCTTGTCCACTGCAAACTGGCTAATTCTTCTCTGGATCTTCAGGGATGGATCCACAATGGAGGATTTCCATTGCAGAATATAGCAAATTCTCATTGGAAAGAACGACTTTCACCTTACATTTAAAATTTTAAATTTTTGCTCACTATCGGAGTTGACTAACTCTCACCATGGACTTATTGTGTGAGGGCATTTTGGCTGGTGGGAGGACGTGGGTCTCCGCTTTGCTGTGTGTATCTGTAGAATGGGCATAACAGGTTCGTTTTAGTTTGTAGTGTTGGCTTGGCAATTTTCCCTTAAAAAAACATGAGCAACACTGACAATGTAAGGCATGATTGGTCTGTATGGACCATTTTCTGAAAGCCTGAAAATAAAAAGATGTATACAGTGCTGTGAAAAAAATCTTTGCCCCATTCCTGAATTCTTATCGTTTTACACATTCCTCACACTTAAGTGTTTCAGAAAATCAAACAGATTTTAATGTTAAAAAGATAACCGGAGTGAACACAAAATGCAGTTATTAAACGATGATTTCATTTATTAAGGAGCTACAGAAACTCAAAGACGCAGGCGAAACAAAGTCATTGCCATCTATCAGTCTGGAAATGTTCACAATGCCATTTCTAAGGTTTGGGACCATTGAACCACAGTGAGAGCCGACATCCACAGATGGAGAAAACTTGGGACAGTAGTGCATCTTCCCAGGAATTGGGCAAATTACCAGAATTCGCCGAATCGATGACTCAACTGTGTCATCATAAAAGAAGCCAGAACAACACCTAAGGAACTTCTGGAAGGTCTGTATCTCATTACAACTCTGCCAGAAAATCCAGAAGGAGAATGTCTGGCCATAAGTCCATGCACTTGCACATGCACTTGGGTTATACAGAAGAACAATGATCCAAAATACACCAGCAAGGCCACCTCTTAATGGCTCCAAAAAACACAATAAGAGTTTTGGAGCAGCCTAGTCAAAATCTGGAATTAAATCTGATCGAGATACTTCGGCACTACTCTGGTTATCTTTGTCTAATATTAAAGCATATTTGATGATCGTGTAAGAGTGAAAAATATACAAAAAGAAAGAAATCCAGAAGACCGGGAAATACTATTTCACAGTATTGTATAAAATTAGCATAATGTCATATTGTCAACACAACAGCTGACAAGTAAACACTGTATAAGTAGGGTTATACAGTATTTACTTTAAAGATGTTGTCGTGTTAGGCATAAAACGTGGTTTAGGGTGTGGTGTTGTGTCTTAAGTTTCCCATTTTGCTGGCAATCTCGGATTGGGTTTCCAAAGATGCATTTCATGTTATGGGTGTATTAGGTAGTACTGGAGACATCCTGCTGGGGGTGCTATACCGTTAGGCGGGAGCAAGGTCACGCAGTGTACCATTCTGCTGTCTGCGCTCCTCAAACGCTGCAGCTGCCGTCGTCTTCTCTTCTCCACCACACACACCGTCGCACAGCCATGGCGGACAGCGCAAGCGAGAGCGACACCGATGGAGCGGGGAGCAGCTCCGCCACCCCGATGTCGTCCTCCGCTTCAAATTCGGGGAAACCGAGCATAGTCATTTCACAGTTTCGTTTGGAGGAACTGACCAACCGACTGGCCTCGTTACAGCAGGAGAATAAAGTTCTTAAAATTGAGCTGGAAACATTTAAACTCAAGTGCAAAGCCCTGCAGGAGGAGAATCGGGACCTCCGCAAAGCTAGCGTCACCATTGTGAGTAATGTTAGCTAGCTAACTAGCGAGATGCTATCCCCACCCCGTTTGCTGTTTCGCATTTGACAGAATAAGTTAGCGTTAGCGAGTGTTGTTTGATAAAAGCTGAATGAGTGCTACGTGGAAATGTTACCTGAATTCGGCCCTAATTTTTTGCTGTTATGTTAGCCCTACTATCATTAGCTACCTGCTAATTTAGCCAGCGGGACAACGTCTGCTAGGTGGTCGAGCTGTGATATCTTGCTACTTTGCTTTGTGTTATTGTGTTGCTAATCGTGGCTAACGTTAGATGAACTGCTAACGTCAACCAGAAAAAAAACGTCAAAAAATTGGGTGGGCACCTCACGATGCGAGTTAACAGATTGATTGTAGATGTGTGGTCAGCTGATTACTCACTGCTCGGCATTGTCACCACGCTATGGCCAACATGGATATGGTAACTGAGTGAAAATAAATAGCCCACCAGAAGCCTTGGCACCGACTGATGCGTCATATTTCTTCATGCTCGGTTAATCAGTCCTAGCTTCATAAAAATGTGTAACTGATCTGCTGGATAGATGGGAAATATGTAGGCCAATCTTAGCGAGCTAGCTAAATGCCACGCTCTAAACGTCTGCAAACCCAACCACACTTTCACACTGTCCACCCTCTGTGTAAATTTGTGAAGCTTAACTAGCTGTTTGGCTTTTATAATTCGCTCTGGTTTTCATAACGGCCAACGAAGCAGAATTTATTTTTGAGGTCAGGAGAGAATAAGGGATGGGTGAATTTGACAGTGGCAAGGACGCATGTATCACAAGCAGTGTAATGCTAGCTGTCCCAACACATTTCTTTATCTGCCCCCCCAGCCCATGTTTCTCTCAGTCACCCATTGCTGCAATATCTCTTGAGTCATTTGAAAGAATTATGCTTCCTCTTTGGCTGGCAAGCATCACTGCAGCAGTCTTTAGTTGATTGGTGCATGTTTCCCCTCACTGTCAGTAAGTTATAGTTTAATCAGGATAAAGGTGAAAACAGTGTGATGTGCCAGAAGCAAGAGTTTATGTCACTGATATCTCTTCTGTCGCTGTGTCTTTTTGTGTTTTCTGTCCCACAGCAAGCGAGAGCAGAACAGGAGGAAGAATTTATCAGTAACACCTTGTTCAAGAAAATCCAGGCTCTTCAGAAGGAGAAGGAAACCTTGGCAGTCAACTATGAGAAGGAGGAAGAATTCCTCACCAATGAACTGTCAAGGAAACTCATGCAAGTGAGTGATAGAAACAAGATTGGATGGGGAGGTGCACACATTTTGGAGTTCTTTACGCCACACAGAGTGGAGAATAGTGTAACATTAGTTTAAAGTTTTCCCCTGTTATCTTACTGATCACAAACGTCAGTGTGGTATATCATTTCTTCATGCTGTGCTATGCAAATTTCTTAAGTATTGTTGCTCTTGTTCACGATGTGCGGGGTGCTTGTCTATGCACACAGCAGCTAGTGCATTATCATCAACTGCAATTCTACTTGCCTGAAGCCTGGAAAAGCTCACGATGACTTCACTGCAGCTGCTAGCACGTCTAAATGACTCTCAAATTACTCTCCTCCTGTTGTCGGTTATTTGGTTCAGTCTGTTTTCCACATCGTATTTTCCCAACTACAGAGCATATAGCACTCGCTCTCATATTTTAAATAGATAGCTGTAGGGTGACTAATGGTTTGTTGATATCTAAAGAAGTACGGATGTGAAAGAGATGCATGCAAATGTCTTAGCAAAACCTGCTTAAGGTCATACAGATGTACTTATTTGGGCTTTTTTTATATTCTTATCTTAGAATTTAACATGCAACAGACTTGTATCTGCCTATGTCAGTAGATTAGTTGCTTAAAAATTGGGGTGACAGATGGAAAAATCACCTGAATATCAAAACTTATAATACTGGGCATGCAAATGACTCTACGCAGAAGCATTTTTGGGACAAATTTTGTTTTATTTGGGTTTTCCCAGCCATTACTTTTGCTGGACGTTTTAGCTGCATTGTCTGTATTTGAATAACCTAACAACACAAGCTCCCCAGCCCTGATTTTAAACTTGTGCCTTGTATATTAAACATTCACATGACCATAGGCTGTGCTGAATATTATCTATTATCTTGTAAATACACCAAAAAACATCCCTGATAATGTAAAATTGAGACCTTAAAGGTGTACTGGGCTGCATTACATATTCCTAATATCCCACCCTCTTCATTTTTGTTGATGGTACTGAAAACAACATTACCTATTTTAAAGGAAGCCGATGAAAC